CTCCAGCGCGGCGCTGGCGGCGGGGGCATGGGGAAAGCGCGGCGGCAGGCCCAGGCGCTGGCCCAGCGCGGCGGCCACCAGCGCGGACTCGTGCACGCAAACGTAGGCGGCGGGGCGCGGCGGAGCATCGCCGCGCGTCACCGCGTCGCCCAGCGCGCGGTAGCCCGGCGGCGGCACGGCGCGCCAGGCGCTGGCGCCCGCGCCGCGCCACACCCGCTCCCAGCGCAGCGGGAAGGCGGCCAGGCCCGACCCGGCCGCGACCGCCAGCACCTCGAAGCTGGGCGCCGCGCCCTCGGCCACCGCCACGTCGCCGACGGGGAGGTAGCCCGCGCGCGAGGGGCGCGGGCGCCACACCGACACGCCCCCGCTGGCGCCGGCGACCGACAGGTCCACCAGGCCGCCGTCGGCGCGCAGCGTCGCGCCGGGGACGAAGGACCACACTCGCTCGTATCGCGCGCAGGCCAGCAGCGGCGCGCCCGGGTCGGGCGCGCGCAGCGGCTCCAGCGCGCCGCCGGCCAGGTGCGCCGCCAGGGCCAGCACGTCGGGAGCCAGGTTGAGCGCCAGGTCGGACACCGCCAGCGTCACCTCCGCGGCGGGCAGCGGCGTGGTGGTGGTGGCAGTGCCGGAGCCGACGATCGACCCCGGGTCTGCACCCGGGCCACGCAGCTCAAAGTCCAGGCTGACGTGGCAGGGCTCCAGCACCGGCGCGTCCAGGCTGCCGCGCCGCTTCTTGCGCCGCCGCTTCTTGCCGTCGGGGCTGCCGGACCGCGGCGCCGCCGCCTGGCCGCCCTCGGCATCGCCGTCCCTCGCGCCCTCCCCATCCGCGCCCTCCCCGTCCAGGGTCCGACTCTCCACGTGCAGCCCGTGCAGGGCCAGACGGCCAGCCTTGGCAGCGCCCTCCAGCCGCACCGACGCGCCCAGGTCCATGGTCGCCGCGAGCACGTGCACGGAGCGTGCCGCGACGTCCAGCTGCGCCAGCTGCAGCCCGATGCCCACGGCTGACAGGCTGACCTCGAAGCACGGCGGCGGGGTGGGGGGGGCATCGGACGTGTTTCCTTCCCCGCCGAACCCCACCCCTCCTTGGATCACATCGCCTTGGAACTCCCCACCTCCCGTCCCCGCCTCCTCCCCCGCTGCCAGGCACTCGCCCATGGCCCGCGCAGCGGCGGTGGGGTTGTCCTGCAGCGGCGCCGGCAGCAGAGCATGCGCCAGCGCTGCGTGCGCTGCCGCGCCCTCTACCAGCTCGACGCCGTCGCGCGGCTCCGCCAGCAGGCGCGCGCCTGGGGCGAGCCGCAGGCACAGCGCCAGCGAGTCGGCGTGGAGCAGGCGCAGGTTGCGCAGGCGCAGCGTACACCCGGTGCCCACCAGCACCAGCGGCAGCGGCTCGTCCAGGGAGCTCGGCGGCGGCAGGATCAGCGCATGCCCGCCGCCGTCGTACTCAAACTCGGTGGCGCCGGGGCGGTCCGCCAGCAGGCGCGCACAGGGCGAGAGCCAGAGGTCTGCCCCTGCTGGGCCGGGGGGGTCAGGGCCGCCCAGCAGGAAGTCCTGGCTTGCATAAGGGATGGGGTGGTTGCCCACCACTGCAAGGCCCGGCAGTACAAAGGCGACGGTGGCCAGCAGGAAAGACAGCTCCACCACCAACTCTGGCTTCTGCAGCGTGACACCCAGCTTCTGCCGCGCCATGCCGGGGCTGGCGCTCCACTGTGCGCATGGATATCATTGAGGGGGGTGATGGTGAGGATTCTTGGACTCAGGGGCAATGTTGACTGCAATACCTGGCTGGTGCATAGACAGGGCGAGCCGTCAATTTTCCTTTTATCTACCCCTTGTACCATGCTCTTAACAGCCCCGCGGTAACTAGATATGTACTGTGCTCTCCCATCCCCCCCCCCCCTCCCGCCCCCCCCCCGTTCTCCTCCACCACACCCCTCTCCTTCACACCCACCTCCATGATCAAGAAAGAGGCCTTGTTGGCCGAGGTGATGACGCGGTTGTGGGAGGTGGGGACCTCGGGGCGCAAGTCCACGCCCTCCACGCGCGGCAGGCACACCGACACCGCCATGCTCCCCTGTAGGATTCAATTCTCATTGGTGAGCTATAGGGACAGTGCGCATTGAGACCGGCTGAGGGGTCTGGACTGCCCCACGCACTGCGCGACGGAGAGAGGTGAGGCGTCAACCCCTCTTCACCCCCCTCCTTCTCCCACCCCTCCTCACCTCCTCGGTGTTGTGGAAGGCAATGCCCAGGTCCTCGATGGAGAAGCGGGCCAGTGGCTGTGGTTCGCCCACGCCCTCCACCAGCTGGTGCAGCTCCAGCTCGGCGCGGGCCAGGCTCACCACCACCCGCACGTTGGTGGGCGAGACATCCTCCGTGGGCGCGATGCCGGCTGACAGCTCCTCGGCCGCCTCGGCCGCCGCCGCCTCCTCCACGGCGGGGAGAGCCGGCGGCGCGCCGCCGTGCGCCGCCAGCGCCGCAGCCCGCGCCAGCTGCGCCATGGCGCGCTCGTAGTGCAGGGTCAGCCACTGCACGCCCTCGGGCGGCTCCGGGGCCTCGGCCACGTTGGCCGCGGCGATGGAGGTGATGCGCGCGTACTCGCCGTTGTCCAGCACGGCACGCAGGATGGGGATGTCCAGTGCCAGGTCGAACTGAGGGTTGGGGAAGAGTTGGGGGATGGCTGGGGGATGGGGAAATGGAGGGATGCCAGCACGAATCAAGAGTCTGGAAGGAAAGCTGCAAAGCTGGGCCAGGCCACGGCAAGTGTGCTCATCTCGGATCCCTGATACCAACCCCACCTGCACTCCTCCCTCCTCAACAAGAAGTCCGAACCCAACCTTCACCCTTGGGTCAAACCCACCTTGGGCTGTGGGCCGCGCGCCTCGGGCTGCAGCGGGCGCTTCCAGCCCAGCTGCCACGCCTGCTCCTGGTTCTTGAACACGTTGCCCCCACGCTTCCCGGCTTGCACCACGCAGCAGCTCATGCCTGGTGGTTGGTGAGGGAAGCGGGGGAAAGGGAGGGGGGTTAAATGCTGGTGATGGGGGAGAATGGCACACCCTATGCCTTACCTTCCGGGGCTACAATACGCCTGGAAGTCCAGCTAGACATCTCCCCATCCCCAGGCTCACTCACAGCACTTACATGCCCCTCCTCCACCACCAGGGTCAATCCCCCTTGTCACCAGTGCCCACCTGAGAAGGCCAGCGCGGCCTGCTCCTGGAGCACCTGGACGCCCCTTTTCCCGCATTCCTCCCCGGGCACCTCGACCACCTTGCTGCTCAGGCTGAGGTTCCCCAGGTCCACCTCCAGGCTATCCAAACTGTGGGAAGGGAGGTATTGGGATTCCGGGGATGAACAATGGGGGTCGAGGAGATTAATTGAGCACAGTGTCCATGAAGGGGCGCAGCAAGCACAAACTGCCCACCACTCCCTCGTCACGCGCAGGTCCGGGAACAAGCCAGCCAGCCGGGACCCCCCACACAGACCTAACATCTGCACACAAACCTGTTGGACTGGCGGGGCAGCACGATGATGGGCGCATCCATCTCCACCTCCAAGACCAGCACAAAGGGCTGCTGCGCCTCGGCCAGGGGCAGCGGCGGCGGCGCGGCGCCCTTCGTCCGGGCGCTGGCGGTGCGCCCGGGTCCGCTGCTGGCGCCCCGCAGCGGCGTCGCCGGGCGCGAGGCGGACCCCGTGGAGCGCGGGGTTGACGCGCGTGGTGTGGCTCCACCGCTTCCTCCGGCCGAGACCGCGCGTCCTTCCTCCAGGGGCACGCCCCCCGCCTGATCCAGGCGCATGGCCAGCATGACGCTGACGTAGGACAGGTGCTCCGCCAGCAGGCGGTAGAGGAAGACCAGCTGCAGCTGGCTCAGGCGCGCGGTCAGGTGCGCCCAGGCCAGGCCGGGGGGCACGCGCGGGTCGGCGCGTGCGCCCGCCGGGTACATCTTGAACTCCACGTCCACCAGCGAGGCGGTGCCGTCGCCGCGCAGGCCGCAGGCGCGGCGGTAGGGGTGCGGGTCCGGCAGCGTGCCGTCGAGGACCTCTGCGTTGCCCAGGCGGGAGGTCAGGCTCAGCACGCCGCGCGCGTCGACGTCCAGGCCAAAGCAGAAGCCTTCCACGGCGGCAGTGGACAGCATGCGCGCGCCGGCGCCCTCGTAGTTCAGCGACACCGCCAGCGTGGAGAGCGCGACGCGCATGCGGAACACGGTGCGTCGCGCGGGCGAGGCTGAGGCGCCGCCCGGCCTGACCACGGGCGTGGCCAGGGGGTCCTCCTGGCGGTTGGGGTGGGTGGGTGGGGGAGGGGGGAGGTAAAAGGTTGAGGGGAGATTGGTGTGGATTGGGGCGGGAGGTGACAGGGAAGAGGGGGGCATGGGGCGTGGGTCTCATAAGCCATGCAACGCAATCTGGTGTCCAACACCCGCCTGTATTGCCCTCCCCCCCACTCAGATTGCTGTGTGGGGCCTGGCAGTGCATGCCTTGCTTCTCCATTTCGCCCCCCCCCCCGCCCCCGAGAAGACATTCCCAGGCCACGACATCCTCCACGACCTCCATCCCCCTCTCCTCACCGGGCTTCCCTCCAGCTTCTCGGCCAGGGACTGGTCCACGGCCTGCGCCAGCTCCACGCCCGACGGCGCGCCCAACTCCTCGGCGTCCGCCGCCTCGGGCTCCTCCTGGTCCCCGCCGGCCCCATCCTCGCCCCCCGCCGCCGCGGCGGCGAAGTCGGCGCCGGCGCTCATGAGCGCCGCCAGGGTGGGGCGATTGCAGTAGAAGCGCAGCGTGCCCAGCGTGACGTCCAGGCACGTGTCCACACCCGCGTACCCCGCCGTCCCCGGCCGTGCGATGGTGAAGGTGAACTCCGCCAGCTCGCGGGCGGGGGCGTCGCTGGCCAGCGAGGCCGAGCGGCGCACGCTCAGCTCACCGCTGCGCACGCTACGGAGCTCATCCTCCGCCGCGTCGAAGAAGAGGTCGTCGTCGGGGGCCAGACCTGGGGTGGGGTGGGTGTCTTGGAAGGTGTGGGAGGGGGGTGGGGAGACTCGCATGGTATCGAGAAGTGCCGGCGCTCGCGATGCCGGCGCCACGTGCCACAGGACCTTTTGGTCTTCACCCGCTGGGCTCCTGAATGAGGTCCATTGCCCGCCCTCCACCACCCCAACCAACATCTCACCGACATATCTCTCCCCCCCCTTCCCCCCCACCCCCTCCCCCCCCTACAGTCGCACCGACTTCCGCGCCGCTGCAGGCCAGGTAGCGCTGGCGTGGGCTTCGCGGCCCCACCAGCAGGTCCTCCACCTCCAGCGCCTCCAGCACGGTGTGCACCGACATGCCCGGCACGCCGTAGACGAAGCCCAGCGTGCCCCCCGTGGCCCGCACCACCACGATGTGGCTCTCCCCGGCCAGGTGGGGGACGTGGTCTGGGACAAACGCAGGGAAGCCTGCCTTGGCGCGCGCCGCCGCCGTTCTGGGGCTCACCGGGTCCTCGTCCTGTGGGGAGTGGTGGAGGGAGCTAGTTGAGAAGGGGTGTGTGGACTCGTGTGGGCGTGGTGTTGAGGATCTATGCTGGTCGCTTCCAGTCGCAGCCAATGACGTCGTGCACGGGGGTGAGATCCCAACGCACCACACCGTTGCCAGCCCCAGGAACGCGCTCGCCCTCCCAGAATCCATCCGCCGGCCTCTCACCTCCGGCGGCCACCAGACGAGCGGCGTGCGCCCGGCCACAAACAGCGCCAGTTCGCCCAGCTCGGCGTCCACCTGGAGCAGGGTGGTGGGCGCCGGCTGCGCGGCCGGCGGCGCATCCTCAGGCATCGATGTCACGGATGCGTCGTGCGACGCTGTCATCGTATCCTCCCCGGACACGGTGGAGGAGGCGTCGTCCCACTCCGGCGCCGGCACCGTGGCGCCGCCCGCGCCCGTCAGCTCGCGCAGCGCCTGCTGCGATGCGCAGAGCGCGCGGAACCAGGCCTCCGCCGCGCCCCCGTCCTCCAGGCGCAGCAGCACGGCCGCCGTGCTTTCCAGCACGTCCGCGGGCTCCAGGCCCTGCGGCGCCACGGCCACCACATGGCTCACGCCCCGCGCGTCGCCCGGCGCCAGCGCCAGCACGCGGCGGTCGGCGCCCAGCGTCACCGCGGCCAACCCACCCGCCGCGCCACCGCCCCCCTCGGGGTCCAGCAGCAGCAGGCGGCCGCGGGCGGTGACCACACCGCGCGCCGGCGCCCAGGTCTCGGTCGCGCGGCCCAGCCCCGTCCAGCGCAGCACGCGCAGGGGACCCTCGTGCATTGCGTCGGAGGAGGGGTCCGGGCGGGGGGCGGCGCAGCAGCCCCCCTCCCCCGCGCCCCCGTCCACCTCCCCGGGCGCCACGGCGCGCAGCACGCGCAGCAGGGCGCGCAGGCGGCCGGGGGAGAGGTGGAAGCGCAGGCTGGGCACTGCGGGCTGCAGCCGCACCGCGGGGCGGTCCGGGTCGGGGAAGCGCGACAGCTGCGCCGCGACGCTGAGCCCGCACCGTTCCAGCAGCGGGATGCGCGGCGGTCGAGGGGCGGCGGTGGGGGATCTGGGAGTGTGCCCCGCGGCCCCCTGTTCGCCGGACCCCCCCTCGCCAGCCCCGACTCCGTCCCCCCCCCCGGCCGCCCAGTCGTGGCGGCCTTCCACCAAGAACGCGGCCACGTCGGAGCCCTCCAGGCGCACGCACTCGTACAGCGCGGCCTGGTCAGGCGACAGCCCGCGCGGCGCGCCGCGGTCGGAGCTGACCACAAACTGCCCCAGGTCCAGCACCAGGCAGACGTCGCCGTCGGCGTCCGACACGGGCACCGCGATCTTGGGCGCGTCCAGCTGCAGGCGCAGGTTGAAGCGGGGGCGGGCCTGCATGGCGGCCGCCGCGTAGGCCGCCGCCGCCTTGCGCGCGCGCTCCAGCTGCCCGCCCGCCGCCAGCTGCAGGTTGGAGAAGTCCAGGGCCTCGGGCGCGCGGAAGAAGGCGGCCACGCGCGCGACCGTGGGTGCGGAGTAGTGCACGTAGGAGGGGCGCAGCACCACGCCCACCTCGGCGTCGGCGCTGCCGTCCTGCGGCGCGTGCACAAAGGTCACCGTCAGCGCCTCCTCCTCCGGAGGGGGGGGGGTCTCGTCGGCGACGGCCCCACCAGCTTCGGCACCGTCGGCGCCAGCCTCGCCCGACCCAGCGCCCTCTGCACCCTCGCCGCCCGTCCCAGCTGACAGCCCGCGGCCCGTGCGCACAAACACGCCCTCGGGCGAGTCCACGCCCATGGCGGCGACGCGCAGGCCCACGGCCAGGGTCTTAGGGAACTTGCGCAGCTCCAGGGCGATGCCGTCCAGGCCTCCACGCAGGACGCGGCGGCCGTCGCGCCCGACCAGCTCGGCCGAGGCGGAGCCCACGCCGACGCGCAGGCGCTGCAGCAGGGAGTGCGGGGAGGCGGAGCCGTACACGAGGCCCTCCTCCTGGTCGCCCACCAGGTCCACCAGGCGCGCGAACTCGTCGGGCGAGAAGTCGGAGCGCATGTCCGGGTCGTCCGGCGCGGGGGCGTCGGGGGAGCCGGCGGTGCCGCCCCCCGTCGCCGGCGCCGCGCGCCCGGTCAGCCAGGACACCCACCCCGCGGCGGCCCCCTGCTGCGCCGCGGCGCGCGACGCGGCGCGCGCCTCGCGCTTGCGCTCGCGCTGCACCTCCGCGTGCGCCAGGCGCCGGAACATGAGCATGGTGGTCTCCGGCAGCGCGTCGTTGGCGGCGCGCAGCTCGCCGCGCTCCGCGTCGGTCAGCCCCACCATGCGCGCGCCCTTGGTGCGCAGGTGCTTGGCGTACAGCGACACGTAGCGCCGGCGCAGGCACGCGAAGCGCACCGTCGCGCGCCAGCTCAGCGTGCGCCCTGCTTGCACCTGCTGCACCGCGCGCAGCGCGTAGCGCCACCAGGCGCACGCCGCGGCGCCCGCGGCGGGCCGCGCGCCGGGGCGGTAGGAGGCATACGGGTGCCGCGCCGCGTACGACGACACCTCCGCCAGCAGCAGCTGGTACGACTGGTACTGCGCGTCTGCGATGGCAGGAGCAAGGGGGGAAGGGGGAGGGCAGGGTAGGGGGGAGGGCTCGGGCTGTCGACGCGGGAGCACACATCAACAACGTGACACAGAATCTGGCAGTGTGGTGTGTGGTGCAGAGCCCAGGTCGGCCACCGGCTGCCTCACACATTTGCCAGCCCTTGTGTGCTCCCACCCTGTTGTCCTGCATGCAGGGGCATCCTGATGCACCCGCACATCACCGCCATGGCCATCCAGCACAATCCTCGACTCACGTGACAGTCTGAGGGCCACCGACTCGAGGTCCAGGGAGGAGTCCATGCGCGGGTCCCCGTCGGCCGTGGTCTGCATCTTCCCGACGCGTGTGTACAGTGCGCGCCCGCCCACGGGCTGCGCACGGGAAGGAAGGGTGGCGGGCGCTGGACCGGCAGTGGGGATTGCTGTGTGTCTCCTGCGAAGCCTTGCGTGCTGGTGCCTCATCAGAGTCCACCACACACCTGCGCCTGCCCTCAAGCCATGGCGCACTGCCGCCAGCCCTCACCAGAAACCTCCCTCACCTGGAGCACATACTCTCGGTGCCTGGCGGTGCCGCCACGCTCCTGCCTGGCGGAGGACACGCCAGGGAGGAACCACTCGTCCCACTCCACTGGCTGCAAGAGGTGGAGGGGTTTAGGAAGTGCGAACATGGGCACAGGCAGGCACGCGCTTCCGTCCAGGTCTGGGTGCCAGAGGGTGCGCAGGGCATGCGTGACCACCGCATGTGCTCCGCTGCCCTCCCCAAGCCCCAGCTTGCAGGTGCCTCCCACCCACCTCCAGATCGTGCCAGTGGGAGTGGGGCCGCCAGAAGTCTATGTCCGTGTCAAAGTACAGCGCCGCGCGTCTCAGGTCCAGAGCCTGCGCGCGTGGCAGGCAGGGACTCGCGTCAAGATCGTGCACCCGGAGCAGAGCATCGCCCTGCACAACATGGTAGCCCACAAAGAGACAGTGCCCGGGGCATGTGCAAGGAAATGCCGAGCGGGAAACTGAGGAAGCAAACAAGCCGAACACACCCCCTCTCACCTTCCTCAGCAGGCTGAGAGGGGTGGTGGTCACGAAGGCCTCCTCCCCCTTGTCGTTGACGGTGGCTGCGGCCAGCTTGTCGAGGGTGATGCCGCAGGAGAAGGGGTGGCCCGGGTTGGTCACGTCATCCTCGTACCGCACATGGATGTTTGTGATGGACAGCTGGAGGTTGCCTGGGGTTGGGAGGGGGCCGGTGTGAAGGGAAAAGGTTTGTGGAGATGTCGGGGTGCAGGGGTCTGTGAATTGCAACCGGCCACCAAGCGCCAAGGTGTTTGCTGTGGATGCCCCCAACAAAAGTATGTGCCCAATCCTCCCAGACTGTTCCAAGAAAGCAACGTCATCACAAGACACATACTCCCCACCCACCGATGACGGTGTCGATGACATTCTTCAGGCGCCCACCACCAAATAGCCCTCCACCGGTGCCGCCCCCTTCCGCCTTCTCCTTGGCCTTCTCGAGCCTCTCCAGCTCGGCGAGCCACTGCGACTCATGCATCTGCACACGCTGCCTCTTACTGGACTGGAAGGCTGTGTCCACGTCATCCTGGGTGGCCAAGAGGCACCAAGAAACCATCAGCGCTGCAGGACAACGTGGGCTCGCACATGGCGCAGTCACTGCCAACAACCAGCACGCCAAACATGCACCCAACGCAGTAGGCATCCAAGTGACGACGGTCAGATAGGTATGACGATGTTACCCGCCAAGATCTGCTTGCGGGTCACAGATACCCAATACCACCAACCCCCTTGGGCACACTCACAGCCGTCTTGATGGAGGCCTTGTCGGCCTCATCCCTGGGCTTTGCGAGCAAAAACAGGCGGTCCATACGCACTTCCACGGGCGCCTGACCCAGCGCGCTCCATGGCACCTAGGCATGAGGCAGGGGTGTGGAGTGGTGTGAGCGTGCTCTCCAGGCACACAGAGTTTGTCGCCCCAGCTGCATGGCAACAACCCACCTTGAGGGTCAGGCTGCCAAGGAGGCCAGCCTCGACTGTCACTGGAAGATCCAGCTCTGACAGGGCATCTGCCTTGAGCCTCAGGTTCTTGAGCACCACATCGCCTTGGTATATGGATATCCTGTTGTGCATTTGATGCAGGGTACGTATATCATGGACCACCCGAGGTCCACGATAGTGGAGTAATGCTGTCCATCACTATATGCATGACACAGACTGAGATGTTGAATTTTATTATCATGGGCGCCCCTCCCTCCCCCTCTGCCTACTTGAGGGAGGCGGGGTCAATGCCCTCCAGGTAGGTGCCCAAGTACTTATTGAGGTAGTAGGCTATCTGAGCCTCAAACATTGCGATCAAGCGCTTGCAGCGTGATCGATCTAATCCATTCTCGTCTCAAGAGCCTCAAGGGCACGAGAAAGTCCCGTGCGAGAGAGCTTTCCTCTCGGGTGTAGGGAGCCAAGCACCGCGTCCGTGTCACAAGGTCCCCAGGGCTCGGTCGATGCGTTGCTACAAAGTTTTGAATGCACAGCAGGTATTTTTGTTAATGGATCAATGTGCATGGACCGAGCATGCCGTCTGGATCGTATTTCGAGGCGCTCCGGAAGGCGTGGAGAAGGTAAAGGCCTCCAGACTGTCAGTCCCGCGCGCTGCCGGGCCACGGTGGTGTTGGAGGGTGGCAGTGCAGGCCAATGTGCAGGAGCAGTGGTGCCTTGGGCATCCACAACAACTTGAAATCCACCAAGGCATGTTGCATCTACAAGTATGATCCCACGGCATTGTACAGTATATACATGCGAGGATGACAGTGGTGGGCACTGAACATGCAATCTCCCAATGGCTGCCGAGGGGCAATGCACCCTTGCCAATCGTCTGCTGGGAGAAGGGTCGAATGAATGCAAAACAGCATTGGCTGAAGTGATGTAGATCCTTATTATGCTGTGTGTCCAGGGGTTGTTTTGCCCGCCCCACCCCTCTTTCTTGTCTCTGCATGAAATTTCCGACACCGGCTGACATATCCGGTCGCCAGCCCAACAAGCCCCCCCTCTCATGCCCTGTGCAGGGTGAATTGCCATGCGTCATGCACTAGTCTTCCACCAGTCGGGAAATATGTGAGTGATGGGGCGGGTGCTGGGGTGCATGCATGAGTCCCGTCGGTGCACCACTCGACACCTCAGACCCCTCCCACCGCACAGGCTCCGTCCGAGCATGTTCAGGGTGGCGCGGCCCTGGACCAGGCATCCCCCTCGTCCGATACGAGCCTTCTCCTCCACCCGCGACGTGGATGTCATCGTGGTGGGCGGGGGCCACGCAGGGTGCGAGGCTGCGGCCGCTGCCGCTCGGCGGGGTGCCCGCACCCTGCTCATCACCCCCTCCCCCTCCGCCACAATCGGGGAGATGAGCTGCAACCCCAGCATCGGGGGCCTGGCCAAGGGCACCCTGGTCCGGGAGGTCGACGCCCTGGATGGGCTCATGGTGGGTTTTGGGGGTGAGGGGAGAGGTTGTGGGCATAGCCTGGGCTCGGAGATGCGTGGCGGGCATGAGGTGGTGGAATTGAAAAGCAGGCTTGCATGCCAGCGGGCATTGGTGTGGTGCATCAACAGGGACAGACCTCCGCAGGTCCATGATGCCGCCTCCCCGGCCCCCCTTGAAAACGCAACAGGGCCGTGTGGCGGATGAGGCTGGCATCCAGTTCCGCATGCTGAACGCGAGCAAGGGCCCCGCCGTCCGAGGCCCCCGCGCCCAGATGGACCGCGCGCTGTACAAGGCGGCGATGCAGGCGGCGCTGGCCGCCGTCCCCGGCCTGCAGGTGCTGGACGCCTCGGTGGTGGACCTGGTGCTGGAGTCCGGCGGCGCCTCGCCCCGCCACGCCGCCGGCACGCCCGCCGTGGCGGGCGTGCGCCTCAGCGACGGCCGCACCGTCGGCGCGCGCGCGGTGGTCATCACCACCGGCACCTTCCTGCGCGGCGTCATCCACGTGGGCGGCGAGCGGCGCGCCGCGGGGCGCATCGCCTCGGCGGTGTCCCTGGACGCTGCGGCGCGGGCGGCGGGCGCGGGGGCCGCAGAGGCCCCCGCCGACCCGGACCTCCTGGCCGCGCAGCGCGCCGACGAGCGCGCCGCGGGGGCGGCGACGCTGCTGGCCCAGACCTTTGCGCGCCTGGGCTTCAGCCTGGGCAGGCTCAAGACGGGCACGCCGCCGCGCCTGGACGGTGCGTCTGCCTGCCCCGCGCGGTGCTCGCCCGCCCCGTCGGACGCCACGCCCTGTGGCCGGGCGTGGGCCCAGCCAGACCCCACACCCCACCCACGCCTGCCACCAGCTCGTCGCCCTCACACCACCACACCCCTCCTCCCACCGCCCCGCACACCGCAGGCCGCACCATCGACTATGGCGTGTGCGAGCCTCAGCCGGGCGACGCCGCGCCCACGCCCTTCAGCTTCCTGAACATGGAGGCCGGGGACTGGGCGCCGCGCCAGCCCCAGGTGCGGTGCCACGCCACGCACACCAGCGCGGCGACCGAGGCGCTGGTCCGCGAGGCCATGGCTCGGGGCGGGGCGCGGTGTTTGCCTCCGGCGCGACGGTGGCGGGGGGGGGTTGCGTGGAGCCGCGCTACTGCCCCTCCCTGGAGACCAAGTTCTCGCGCTTCCCCGGCCGCGCGCACCACGTGTGGCTGGAGCCGGAGGGCCTGGGCACGGCCGTGGTCTACCCCAACGGCATCTCCAACTCCATGGAGGTGGCCGACCAGGCGCGCATGCTGGCCACCATACCGGGGCTGGAGCGCGCGGTCATGCTGCAGCCCGCCTACGCGGTGGAGTACGACTACGTGGACCCGCGCCAGCTGCTGCCCAGCCTGGAGAGCCGGCGCGCGGCGGGGCTGTGGCTGGCGGGCCAGATCAACGGCACCACGGGGTACGAGGAGGCGGCGGCCCAGGGACTGCTGGCGGGGGCCAACGCCGCCGCGCCGGGCGACCCGCTGGCGCTGTCGCGCTCCGACAGCTACCTGGGCGTGCTGGCCGACGACCTGGTGGGGCGCGGGACCAGCGAGCCGTACCGCATGCTCTCCGCACGCGCCGAGTTCCGGCTGGCGCTGCGCGCCGACAACGCCGACGCGCGGCTGACGCCGCGCGGCGTCGCCGCGGGGCTGGTGGGCGCCGGGCGCGCGCGCGCCGCCGCGCGCCGCGCCGCCGCGGTGCAGGCCGCGGAGGCGCTGCTG